TGAATGAGCCAATTACTGTACTTCCGACTAAGCCTCAAGGAGGGGAAGGACTTTTAGGGGAAGATGTGAACAATTTGTGTTCTCCCTGGCGTTCCTCCCCCTCCTAGGCTTAGTCCTGGTGTCATTTACCCTCGCTCCTATTTTGAATGTCCCCCCTAAGAACATGGGCGCCACATTTGAATTACAATAAGCAGGACAGCAGCAACTAGTAAGCATAAGGTATTTGGGAGCCTGAGAGGCATCAGTCGTGCACACCTGTTGGAAATGTTTGCCATGAGCGGATTCCCGGTCCGTGATGACGACCGAAACTCGCTACGTGACGGTTCTGCCCTGTACTGATCCAAACGTCCCATTATGCCGGAGAAGCTGAAAATGTGTGATATAAGGATGATAGGCCTTATCGGCTTCACACGCAAACATTACAAAACATACTGTTCCTTTGAACTTTTTGTAACGGCTTTGGACACTTCTGCGTTCGGGACCATTTCGTGTTGATAACGAACCAGTCGTACTGTCACTGTGATCAGCAGCCGATGTAGCCATACCAGAATGCGCATTTGAGTGCGCCACGCGTCGCTCGTTGTTCGGTTCCCAGCTGTGTCTCTCATGACTTTCCTGCTTTCTGAAATCCACGAAATGACGGGGAAATAGGGTGTCTCGACAATGCGTAAAATAAATTAAGAGAAGGGGAACGCGAATTCATCCACTCGCATATAAACAATGCAGCGTTTTATGAAGCCTTATATTGCATCCGTGAGTCACATACTGTGAAAGCCCGAGCAGTCATTACGTCAATGCACACTACGACTATTTATTTGAGTTACTGCAGCAACTCCGGCGCTCATGTTGTTAAAGGCGAATTGCTGTGAAAGAGCCACTTACACAACTTGGGATAAAGCATTAGGTAGGGAAAGGGATTTTGATGGAGAACGTGAGCAGCCTTTCATATCTGTTCCTCCCCTCTCCTGAGCTTAGTCCTAGTGTCCCACCAGCAGTTTTTTAAAGCCCTGTTTTGTGTTCCCCCTAGGGACATGAGCGCCATAAGTTCTTTTGAGCAGGCGTTAGGCAATAACAATTCATCCATGGACTACTTATAAAGTTTCTTTGAATAAATGCTTCGAGCACAGCAAATATACATACTAGAACCTGGACTAAGAATATTTCCAACCTTTCGTCGTTCGTTTGTACTGCGTTATTCGGTGTGCTTGTTGCTTGGACTACAACAGG